AAAAATTGGGAGTTTCCCGAGGCGTCCCACAAAGAGGTGAACTGGCTTACACCACAAAAATATTTTTTGATTCTAATTTAAAATTATATATTTAATTTTAGTTTACATTCTTGAATTAGGGCAAGTGTAAATACTAATTATTAAAAAAAAAATTTTTTTTAATTCAAGACAAATTTTATTTATTTATTCTCATAAATAATTTTAGAAGCTGAAATTCAATTTTCCCATCATTTCCTGTATTCCACAACCATAGATTTAAAAATGTAGTAGGTGTTATAATTGTATATTTGAATCAACATATTCGATTATTGTCAAATCACTCAAACCAACTGTATCCTGAAAGGTTTATTTGATAATTTTATTTTAATTAAGACCTATAGCTGTGGACCGAGGATGCACTGGGGCTATCAATATAATTTATCGATGATTGCTGACGCACTTGGGTTATTCAATACATTCTTCAATAAGACTGTGGACGCATTTGGGCTATGAAAGAGGTAAAAACTAAAAACGGAACCCACTCGGAGTATCCCCCAAAAATTACTGAAATTATTATAATGATAACAACATTTTAATATTTCTAAAATTATAAAATTACTGTTTAATTATTTTAATGAGAAATTTGAGCTTGCATTTTAGGCATAAATGATTCTGTTTGGTTGATATTTGACACTGCTACTCTTAAATCTGCTTTAACATTTAATTTGGACCAATATTTGTTTTTAATTATCGCTAGTGTTGTAAATGCTGTTCCGCATAAATATGTTGATTCAAAATAAAGTAAAATTGATATGACTTTTTTTGATAATTCTGAATTTTCAGATTTGGTGGAAATCCAAAATATTTATTTTATTATGATTATTATTAGCAAGTCGCCAATAAAATTTCGCAACCTTCATGTTGCGACTGATATAGATTATTTATAGACTATAGGTACATGTGAATGATTATCGTAGTAAGTTAATCTCCGTCATCACTAATCAGCACAATTAAACGCTAATATTAATTGTATCTAACTGATGTTTAAAATTATTGTTTTAGTTGTAATTTAGTATTTAATATGTAAACCAAGTTATAACTGCCTACCTCAAATTATACAAAAAAATTTAACACACATACTAACCCCAACATAAGATACCTTACTTAACTCCTCATCCCCGACAATCCTCCATGAAGACTCAAACGAAAGTGGATCAAAGACCTTCTCCATTAAAAACTATTTTCTCCTAAAAAAAAAAAAACTCCCCAAGTAGGTTATAATTGGAGACTCCGACCAACGTGTAAGATATGAATTTTATATAGGTACTTTACTTAAATCTGGTTGTCTGGCGCGTAAATTAAATCGATTAACGAGTGTTAGACGTATTCGTGTAGAATAAAAATCGTGTATGTTGTCGCATTGTTTCAGATCATCGACGTCTTTGTACATTATATATTTATATATTTCATTGTCTATACTTAAATAAAGTACTGAGAACGTTTTTTAAGTCTTCGACTCTTCGTAAAGTGATGACGTCTGTTTCGACGCGCAGTATTCATTTATTTCGTTTACTCATGTGACATGTGCACTACTGTTTTTAATTAAATAAATTAATTGTTGTATTTAAATGTTTATTCTCTGTAGTTTAACTTTTAGACACATCTTCAACCACGGGTTGTGCTCTATGGCATGTCTGGCATGAGAGTAGATTATAATAGGTAGGTAAATATTAGATATTCATGCGTATGCATATATAATAGGTTATACTCATTATAGCCTATAGGTGAATACTAGTGAGTGAATACACAGGTAGGTACCTATATATTAAATAATCTATGTTTAATATTTAATACCAAATATCAATGTTCAACTTTACTGTACATTGCTTTGTAAAATGTATATTATATAGTGTGTTATGTAATTTTATTTTTATCATTTAATTATATTGTTCTTGAATCGTTTAATAAATGCCTGTACTTATTCGTCTTAATCATTGATAAATTATACATTTAAACAATTGTGGTATTATTTCAATAAGTATAATATATATAAACATTAAACATATACAAATATATATGGTAATATTATAATAAGGTTTTCACACCAAAAATTACAAACAATGTAATATTGGTATAATCTCTTTTGTTTATATTCAAAACTTGCAAGTACGAGTAATGATATTATTAAGATTATTTATGAATAAATTTGGTAATTTAAACAGTGTAAGTTTTTAAGTAAATAATTAATATAAATTAATAATATTATACATAATTATTGCAGACAAACATACTATAATGATTTAAATTATGCATATTTCCTATGGTAAGATTTATATAATATAAATTAATTACACTTTTATTGTTTAATAGTTACCTAATTAACAACTATAATATGTATAATTATTTACTACCTTCAATAAATTTGTATGACTGTAAAAATTAATATTTAATTTTTTTTAACCAAGCATACAATAAATTGCAAAATTAATTTGCTTTCTATCTACACGCAAATTTTTCAATTTTATTTTTTTTTTTAAGTTTTTGTATATTAACTATTTAAGAAAAAATTTATGATCCAATCAAAATTTGTCGATTAGACTTATTTTTGAAATTTTACTGTTTTACTGTTTTTAAGTTCGTGATTTTCTTCTTTTTTTTATGCACAAAGTATTGTAACAAAGTTTTTTTAAAGTACTTATGAGAAGAAATCACTTTTTTCGACTACCGGCTTTGGAGTAAAAACTCGAGGTCTTACAGACCTCTGATTTGGTAGCTCGGTCTCCATACCCTCTGAAGGTAGAAATATTCCACTTTGGAAGTTTTATGGTAGGGGTAAGACTCCTCCAGAGTTTAGGGAGGGAGCAATTGTATGAGTTCAAACTTAAGCTATCAAAATGGGGTTAACTTAACGGGTGACCTAACTTATTATTTGTGAAGTAATCATTTCGGTTGGAGTTTTGACACTACTGAATACGACACGTTTCTTACTTATCGTTGACAATTTATACTAGGGAAACTAGATTAATGTACACAATTAAAATGTCATTACTTGTTACGTTTAGTGCTGCATTCTAGTAAAGTTCATCTCTCGTGGCTATAACTATATTAACTTAGATTGTATCATGCGTAACCTATTCGAGTAAGTAACAATCTAGGCATAAAAATAAGTGGTTATATGAAGTTATATCACCATAACTTCGAAACTAAATTCGACTAACAAATTCTAATTGCACCATTGTTTTTAAATAATAAATTGGTATATGTAAAAAAAAAAAAAAAATCGAAAAAGTGCCTAGATTTAGAAGCCTAAATTGCAAATTTTAAACTACCATTAACATGACTTGACCAAACCTTATAGCCTCGAATATTTATAAATTATATCAAATATCTGATTATAATTATACAGGATATAAATTATTAATTTAATTTAATTAATTATGTTTATATAATATTTAATATATAGGTACCTACCTAATTAAATACAATATATGTATTTATAATTAAAACATGTTACATATTATATAAATACAATGGTGATGCCCTTAAGTTTTTTGTTTATAATATGAAATTTTAATGATCGAGTAAGAACGTTTGTATTTATTTCTTTATGTAAATTTGGTAAGTCTGTGAGTATTGTGTTAAATGTATGCAACATATTTAATATATTATGACCAATATAAATAGCTATCGTAGGCAAATACATTAGAAACACACTAAATAATAATAAGTATGCGATTAAAGGTTTCATTTCACACATATTTTAAGAATTATTTATTTCCAATTAAAGTTTTATATTTTATAATACAAGAACTTTACAAAGGATTTTTTCCTGCAAGTTACCAATATTTCTAAACATAAAACATCCTTAAATCACTCCTGAGTCCCGACCGAATTTCTGGTGAAGCAATTTTCACTTTGTCCACTACAAAGTGCCTTGCAACTACCACGATCGAGTTACACCGGCTCCTAATTTATATCGATAAAATCTTACAATCGTAGACAATTTGAAATTTTATTAATGAATTCGTGATCGCTTTAAACGTGAATCGCGACTCTTAAGTCACTAGACAGGCTGAGAGTCAGAACACCCGGGGCAGAAAAGCAGACGCAAAGTATGCCGATTGGCGACTTTACCTAGTACCTACGTAAGTACGCTGTCTAGTGATGATGGACATACAGTCAAATGTATTTTTACTCAAATTATAGTAATTTGATTACTCGTTAGTTGTCACTCGACTACTCGATATACCTTATTCGAAACTTTTTTAGAAAACCAAGTCCAAAACTTCGAACAACGTAAACAATTGAATGAATAATATTAGTTATTATTTGTTAATTATAATACTTTAGTTACGGTACATTTTATTATTGTTATTATTGTGTACAGTTTATGTTTTTCTTTATTGTGTTTAGAGAGTTTAGATTAAGATTTTCTAAACAAAACAAAATCCCCAACACAGTCTTAACTCTTAAATATGAAAATATGTTTGCATAATATACTTTATGCATTATAATATAAACGTGAAATAAATTGTACGTTATAATTTTAATATTTCTTATTGTGAATAATAATTGGTTGAAGTTAGAATAAAAAAATTAAATTAAAATTAAAATGAAAATATGATTTATGGACAATTTTATTTCAATTGATTATTTTGACTATTATGACTTATGAGTAACGATTTAACTATCCCGAGTGATATTAATTGAAAATTATACGTAATTATTTTGATATTGAAAATTTATTAAGTAATATCAATTACTATTTGAGTAATAACTAATATTTTATGTATATCAATTTATCAAATGATAATTTCGAGTACCTAATTATCTCAATTATTACTATGTATATTATAATAACTCAATTACAGTACAGATCACATCACACGTTTTTAAGGTTCTTTATCAACTCGAGTCGTGACCACGATATTGTAACCAACCTACTACTAGTTCGTTATCACAATTTGATAAAAACGATAATGCTTATCAGTGTTTAATTTACATACGTAAATAATAATAATAAGATATTAAGATCTTAGTTGTCGACAGGTTGTTTATTCATTATACAGATTACGGAGTGACTTTTTTTATTTCTTTTATTGTAGCGTATACGTTGTAGCTTAAAGTTAAAATAATTCAAGAAGTAAAACAACTTCTTGCTAGAATAAGCATCGTATTCATATAACTCAATCAATTATGTTAGACGAACTGGCCATTGATTATTCCGAGTACTTAAAAGTCGACAATGAAAATGAGGTAACTCCATTAGAACTTAAATAATTAATAGATACCTATGCAGTATGCTTAGGTATACGTGTATTAAGTATACATTATATTATATTGGAGATATTTTTGGTCTTCTCAGGTTAGTGCGTTAAAAGATGTAGTTGAAGATATGCTTACCCGATTAGAAGAGTTTCAGACATTTATGGAAATGGTAAATAATAATATTATATTCTTAATAGTGTTCAATTGACAAAATTCAAATTTATATTCATTATTTTAAGGTTCGTGCACTACGAATGGAAAGCACTGTGATGCATTATGACTCGATAAAAGCGATGAAATCCAAAGTTAATGAACTCACAGACTCTGTAAACAAATTAGAAAAACTTGTTAATAAAGTTGGTGAAGATGTAGAATTGGTTGACCAACAACTAACTGAAGCTGAGGCTTGTATGCCTATTAATAAGGATGGTCCACTAAATACAATTTTGAAACCTTTTTTTGTAAGTCAATTACTATGTAATAAACGCATGTTGCTAACACAATATTAAATTACTATTTATTTGTAATAATTTTTATTATAAAAAACAAGAAGACCATTCTTCTAAACAATTGCCTGCCTATGAACCACCAGTAATTTTTAAGTCGGATGATTACTTTCTGGCAACAGAAGCAGAAGATGCTCTTAAAATAATTGAAAATGATACGTCAACTAATAATTAACACACACACAAAAAAAAAAAAAAAAATAATACTTTTTCATTCTTAAAATTATGTATGGGATCAAGCTAATAATATATACATTATATAGTTTTACATACATTTACATGATATGTAAATTATTGTGTTGTTTTTTTTTTTGATTAAATACTTATTATTTTTATAAGGATTGTGTTTACTGCAAATATTATTTATTAGTTTAGCCAGTTAAATATCCATAGGATTATTGATTGATTTTGATACCTAATATTTATTATTGACTGGTACTATAAAAGTTTCTAGAAAACAATAAATTTACTATATTTTATAAGAACTACACGTCCAAAAATAATTTAAAATATTTGGTTTACTTTTGATTAATTTTAATTATATTATATAGTAGGTACTAATAACATTATTTAAATAATTGCAGTATTATGTCACTAATAATACTATTAGATTAGTATGGTTTAATTTTTTTAATTGTTGATGTTTCACTATCAAAATATGTTCTAACTTTTAAGTGACAGTTACTTATCATATCTTACAATCTACATAACAAAATACTATTCTTAATTTATAATATAATGATTATGATAAAAATTAAATTAATAATGAAGTTACATTAATTCATTACTTTGCTTAGGTATTTATTATTGATATCAACATTGGATTTATAATTTTTTTGTTTTGCCTCAACCAGGGCTTGCATTTGAAAAAATAAAATTGTTTTACATTATTCAGAATTAAAACTTTAAATATATTTTATAACTTATAACTTATAAATATTAAATAATTGGAAATTAATTATTTCATTTAATGATATACTATATTTAACGTTTTGATTTATGATATATTTTGTTAATCGTTATGTTTTGTTTTGTGTTATTTAACTATTTATGTTTATTGTTTTCCATTATATTATTATGTTACAAATCTCAATCATTTTTTGTCAAATATAACATAATTATGATGTTTGAAAGCCCTAGCCTCGACCTATTATTTAAAAATGTATTGAAAACAATACAAATTAACACTAAATTATAAACTTATTAAATTTAACATATCTGTCGGTGTAGATAGTCTATGCTAGGAACATTTAATCATGATAAATTATACAAGAAAAACAAATTTAATAATGAAATCAAACACGATTTATTATTAAGGAACGTGGTCAATGTTCTTAAGAAAGAGTTTTAAATTTTCTATTAAATAGGTATCTACATAATGAGCATTATAATATTATTAGAGAAGCTAAAAATATTAATTTTCTAATACAAGATGATAATATTTGTTTGAATACAATTATACATAAAAAAAGTTTCCCTTAGCTAAAGAGATCTATCAAACTCAAGTCTCAACATACTTGTTTTAGTTTTTGTTATCGATAAATGGTATTTAGTTTCGTGGTTACATAATTTCATGTCTAACGAAACGCGTCGTCGTTTTTTCCAGGATTATTCAGCTGATTTGTCCAGTTGAGAGTGTAACAAAATAAGACGCTCATTGGCACATTATGACACATTATTCAAACGTTATATTATTCACAGGATCCTTGTAATACAAGTAAGTAGAAACTAAACTATTAGTTGTTCGTGGTACACCTCTGGTCAAATGTAAGTACCTATTTTACCTACGAGTTACGTCGACGTATCTACGTAATTAGGTATAGTTGCAGGTAGTTTAATATTTTGAGTTATTCGAATGTAACTGACAGACGATGGCCTACTTAATGATCTTTTGTGATGTAATTTAGCCTCGAGAGTTAATACTGACGTTTGACACCTACCAGGACATGTCAGATAATTATGGACAAAATATATTGTATTATAATCATATAGGTGGATTATCAAAAATGGCTGTGATTTATGAATGATGATTTATAATTAGCGTTACATATATTATATTATAGTTGACTTTCTAGTTTCTACCTGTTTATGTTTTATCATAGGATAAATCATCTTGTTCATTAGTCGACCATCAAACTAATAATAGGTACCTATCATTCTTTGAATTCGAAATAAATTATTAACATTTTATATTGTATTATTATCCAGAGTAATTTGATTTCTTAACTAGTTACTTTAAAACTTATATAGAGCCAGACAAGTGTACCTATAGGTAACTGAAGTTAGATGATTCTAAAACCTTAAATTCTGTTTAAACCATAGTTTAGAGTAAATTTTAAATACATATAAATTAATATAGCATTGGTTGAGGTATTCAGACTTAGAAACTACTGAATCAATTGGAACCAAATTGTGCAAACGCATTCTTCAAATTCGGGGAGTATTTATAATTTCGTTTTCAACTCTTATAGCCTATAGATTATTATAGGGTAAATAAATTTCATTTTGACTCGTGAAATTCGAAAAAAAAATCATATTAATTCTATGAGGTCTGCCTCAGTTAATTCGCTTGTCAAACCCTTTTATTTTTGTTTTATCAGTTGAGATTATGTAATTCATATATATAAAAAAAAAAGAGTGATAAATAATACAAACATCATAAATTATTAATATTTATTGAAGTTTTAAATAAAATATATTTAATTGTAATATATTGTAATACCTCATAAAAAAACAATTATTTCAATTAGGTAGGTACTTTCTTTTCAAATTTTCACTCAATTATGATCTTTTCACAACTTTTATATCATAAAAATTCTTAGTCTTTTTAATATGAAAAAAATTGATGTTTTTTTTCATAACATACAGTATTTATCTGATTTATATATCTATTGTTTTATATATTCAAATTAATCACATTTTTAAAAATTTTTATTTATGGTTTATTGTGCAATTTATATACATAACTTTTTTAAAATTTGTGTGTTAATATTATTATAAGAATTTAATTTAACTACTGATTTTTATTTTATTAGTATCTCGGCCAAAGAAATCGATTTTTATATTATTTAATATCATTAATTATATATTAGAACTATTTTACTAGGTATGTTTATATTATTATCAACAATAAATTATAATATACAAAAAAAAACTTTTGCACGTCTGTATTTCTGTAATTAAAATCACGGTTGTATTCTAGACCTCTTAATAATCTTAAAATTGTTTTTATGTAGAAACAGATATACCCGGTACCAACTATTATTATATTTAGTAAATGACTAAGTAGGTAATGAATAATGATGATTAATCATGGTATAAACTACCGAATCAGTTGATACATAACTACCTATCGAACATTAACAAACAATAGTGATGAAGATGTAACCTCGACACAACTTAGGCACTTATAGGTAAGTATCATGTACGTATATGATTTAAAAATCACAGTTCAAATTATTACAGAATATTATATATAACTATATAAGTAGGTACGTATAAACATTAACGTATTATAATTATGTACCTACTTACAGATTTAGGTAGTAGGTATACAGCAGGTATATAAATTGACATAAAATATAGGTCGATAATACTTATTATAACGTTTATGTAACTTAAATTCTGCATATAACTGTATAAATAAACTTAACTACTTATATAATAATTAAATAAATTGTATCTATAATTCATTTACATTTATATTGACAACGAATTTTTTAAATTGTTAAATTTATTATGTCAACGTTTGATTAATAATTAGTCATAAATCCTAATTCATATTGTTGATAATAAGTATTTTCTATTGACAATAATAAAAATAAAAATTATATTATTAAATAAAATTGATAAAATTTTAAATCAAATTTTACCATAAAATATATAGCATAGGTATGCGCGTATACAATTGAAATAAGTAGGTATTAAATAGGTAGGTTTATGATTAATTGTTCAGAATCGCCATCGTTAATCGTCTAAAATAAATTTCTATATTAAAGTTGAATTTGGAAATTTAGAAACTGTTGAAGGAAAATTCATAGGTAAAACTCTATTGGATGTAGGTACCTACTTATAAGTTATAAATCGAAATTTTCATCGAATATTCATACAGAGTAGTAAAGGACAGTATTTTGGTATGGTTTAATGATCAAAGGCTTTCAACATTTCATCATTAATATTTTATGACTTTTGAATTTTCGGAAATGTGTGAAAATGTAAGTCACAAACTATTATAATCATATACATATACCTACCCTATAATAATAATAATAATAATAATAATAATAATAATAATAGTATAATCTCTGAATTATAATCTATAAGTCCACGCAATACATAAATAAAATAATTTATATTAGACTAGAATTTCTTAAATATAAACAGTAAAATATAATTGAAATATACTAATTCCGTATAGGTAGTTTTAAGTTATTTAAGAAAACATAATATTTATACCTGGGTAACTTCAAACTTGTCCATAAGTTTAAAAAATATTAATCGTATTTACTTAATATATAGGATCTAACTATTTTAGCTAAAGTTTCAACGATATTACCACTATAAAATACAATTATGGGTAAAATATTTTAAATTTCGATAAAATCAAATATCTATCTAAGTTTCTAAATACTTGTATGCATCAAATAATACATAGTTCGAATCTTACACAGTACATTTAGATTAACGGTCTTGTCATTTATTTGAACCAAATTGATATTACACAACCCTATTATATAGTATAATTTAGGTAGGCGCATACCTAGTTTTACGATTATCATAATAGTCTGAATAATCTGAAGTAGATTAATTGAATTATCTGTATGATGGATTAGAATATTTCTAATCCAACTTTTAGCTTGTTTAATAATTTATAAGTTAATGAGTAAGTAAGAATAAATACAAATTAATTTGTGCAAGAAGTTTATTGTTTTCGGATCATATCTTGAGTCAGGAGGTGTATATGGGAAAGTCACCTAGTGGTGGCATCTCGGAAAACCATATTGTACAGTAAAAAAAAAAATGTCATAACCTCGTGAACTAAGATAGAAAATATAGTTTATAGATTATGCATATTTCCGAGCTTTTTTTTTTTTAATAATAATAGTTAACGTTGATATATATTATTAGCTATATGGGCTAAGACACGTTCAATTATAAAAGCATAAGGGCTATAATATGAATTTATCAAAATATTACATATT